AAAACCGGTTTTTCACAACAATGCCTCTGGCGAAGTTATATTCATTTCTACACAAAAACAAATGTTGCTACTATGCTCAGCGTAGTCGATTACCTATATCCCATGGCATTTCGAGATTCCCAGAGATGTCTGCTTGGAGATAGACACGTGCCCGGGGAAAGCCAGCCCTGCCCGGTACAGTAGAAGAGTTAAACATTCTTGCCGATCTTGTTCAGCAATAACTGGGTCCACATTCCAACTTTCTTCTTTCTCTTCTCTTCGCATTTGCTTTTGTGTAATTAAATAACCTCGATGTGTTCTATTCTCGGGTTTCCAATCTAAATAGTTTTCTATTGAAAACGACTCTATAGTACATACACCTATTTCGCTCACCAACAAATCTTTCTATCACATCATTTGGATAAATAATGTCACTTATCATTTTGAATATTAAATGATAAATAAATAACTACACTTTGATCTGAAATAAAAATTCCAGCGTTTAATAGATACAAGCCACAGAACTATTGAGAGCGTTCGTAACAGATCTATACAAAGTCTCAAAAGCATGATCTTTGAAAAAGTCTTCCCGGATGATTCTGAAAGGCTTTTGATTGATTAATGTTATTCTGGTTTGTACAGCAAAAGTATCAGATTGAAAGAGCTTTAGTTCTGATAGGCTGCAATAATATCTTACAAAATAAACGATATATCATTTCTGCTACGAATTTTCTACGCAGAGCACTCAGTACAACACAAAACTTCTTTCACTCTGCTCATAAGAAGTTTATCGATTTGTTTGCATTTGAAAAGTAATACAGCTAATGAGATGATGTCCTCTTGAATTTCGATTCACTTTATTAAAAAAACAATAGCAACAACAATAACAAAGAAAAATATCACACGAATATTTACAACGAAAACGAGTAATTAACCAATCTGGAGAACTTTATTTCTCGATAAATAGGGTTTCTAAAATCGAAAAACTTGGTTGTTGAGATGTTTTTCAGTATTTTTTCTATAATGGGACTAGCCGAGGTCTAAAAATACTTTCCAAAAATACTTCTGTGATATTCCCTTGAATACCACTGGTAAATTTTGTAACTCGATCTGATGAAGTTTAAGGAGGATCGTACTGTGACGTAATGAAAACTCGCGAATGGTAATAGGTAAAAACTTGAAACAAAAACGAAAAAATATTTCATTGAGTTTCCAATTAGTTCTGAAAATATTAGTCCGTTTTAGTTTTAATTTGACAGCATTTCTACGAAAAGCTCAAAAAGGTGGGGATGGGGTACCCTCAAAAGTAACGCAGTCTCTTTAGTAGTTTCTGTGCATTCAAGTTTGATTGGATTCATATTTCTGATTAAAATAGACAAACAAAATATTTTTAATTAAACAAAAATTGCGCTTAATAAAACTATTCTGCTATGATGATTCTTCTGAGGAATTGTCATCTAATTCATTTGTCAGATCATTATTTATATTCGCATGCAATGTTTGTAACGAACCGATGTAACTTCCGATTATCTTGCGAAACATACCACATTTTATCAGTCTGTGGAATATTTTGTCATTCAGTTTTCAGCAATTGTTTTTTTAAGATTTAAATAAATGAAACTTTGGGACACCTTTTTGTAACACACATTAATTCAAAAATATTTCTCTTAAGTAGGTTTTCTAGGAGGTCTGTGGAAAATAGATCATAGCTCCAACTTCAAAGACGAAATTTTCATTTTCTTCCGCGGATAGATAGCCTAAAGCGTGCTTTTCAAGGTAGAAGTCATGCTAGAACTGGTTCGGACATAGTATCGGATTTTCTTGGAGCCCAAGAAAATCTGATGTAAAAACATGCCGATCTCACCGGACTATTCTGCGAATTCATTTGTCGTCGTTTATCTATAGCTAGCTAGCGCTATAACTAACTCTAGCGGTACGTAAAACATGCGAAGTTGTACGTATCGCTAGAGTTAGTTATTTTGGGCGTCGCGTTGGGTGATAAAATATAATAGCTACTATCCACAGTATTACTAGCTGCAGCTAGTCGGACAGCGGACATTGAATAGATTATGGAAAACAGTTTCACTATTTGTAATGCGCAATAAATTCCTAGCTGCACCTAGTTACACACTGTTTTATAGTGGCAAAAGTTGTTACCCGCTGCAGTTAACTACGCCTGCCAATTTTTACCCGAAAAGATATAGATCATACGGAATCGATTGCATATATTTTAATGCCATTTCAATGCGATGAGTAAGTATTGACCATAGAAATAAATCACGATAAAAATATTCTAATCTAATTTCATTATTTGCATGTGCGCTTTTGCGCTTTTGCATCTGGTACTCAAGGTCGAGAAGGAGTATTTGTCGGAGCTGGTGCAGAATTAAATGCTATTTCTCTACACCATGAGAATGTTCAAGCGCGTGTTGGACTAGATGTTTCAACAGGAGTTGGCTTTTCGACCACAGACGTATCCGCAACAGTTGTCGGTGTTGGCTTTAATGCAGGTAAAAGTGGCATTGGTATTAGTACTCCATTTTTCAGCTTTAATGTCAAACCTTGGTAATATTTTTCACAATTTGCTCGATTAAAATGATGTGCAATTCTGGTAATTCTTTCTGTGTTATTTTCCTTGTATAGTAAAAGGTGCGCACAAATGATTTCCCGTCTTCTATTTAACCCTTTTCGGCGGGATGCTGCCATTTGCCAACATTGAGCCAATATTTCGCGAATGGTTGACTTTTAATGGAAGCAAATAACGTTTTCACTATGCGGTAATTACTATAAAATATTTCCCATGAAAAGAATGCTCCATAAACATGCGAACGGTAAAATTGATATTCCTGTGCGTCTCAACAATCAATATGAGAAACAACTACCCAGTAAAACACAAAAGTAGAAAAACGACGTTTCATTTTTCAGCTTTAATTGCAAACCTTGGTAATATTTTTCACGATTTGCTCGATTTCTATAACTGCCTATCAGGACTAAAGAACGTACAATAGCTCAGTTTTGGAAAACAACACGAAATTGTTGTGCAGGGAAATCGTTTAAAATTCGGGCAAGACCAAAACTTGAAAATGACATTGCTGGGAACAGGTAATCGAAAATTAGTCGAAGCTAGTCCAATGGATCGAATTTGGGGTATTGGATTTTCCGCCAAAGACGCCACTGATAATCGTGTCCATTGGAGAGAAAACCTTTTAGGAAAGGCGCTAATGCAAGTTCGTGACGAATTCAGAAACAAACAGGGAATTCATTAACAAACAAATTATGGCTCTTACACGGACCAAATGCATAAAGAACAAACAAACAATCTTTCTTCTTCATATATATAGATAGATAGATATTTAAAATTAATGGTAAAAATACATATGCAGGAATAACATGATGTAAGGAGAGCGAAATTTCTGTGATGATGCAAAATATATGTGAACAATACTGAATTTCATTTTTCTCTGTTTTTTTCGCCATTGAACGCAGATCATACACAACGGGTTATGCATAAATGGCAGCAAATGTCGAGCGCTGTTTCTCTATGCCCCTACTATTCTGGAGACTTCACTTTCAGCATTTCAGAAAACATCGCACATTTCAGAAAATACTTTAATCAAGAATTCAAGATTCATATCTGAAACATACAACAGAACCCGATAAATTCCACCCCACCAAAAAGATCGTCCAGTGCAAACATCTCAGAAAATCTGAGTTTTAGAAAGCATTTCAGAAAACCACAAAAAAGTAACTTGAAAATTTTAAGGAGATCAGATCCATAGAATTTTCCACGGGCTATTTTTCCGTGTATTTGGTTTCAGGAAAAAGTGATTATTTTTGACACCAGTGAAAAGCTTTTCTTTATAAGTTTTAGAAAAACTTAGCTAGGATATTATTAGTGATATATAGTTTTTGTTTCTCAGTGAAGCATGGAAATGGACAACCGATAGAAGTCGGTAGTTACCCACAGCCTGTGGCATCTTCCAGAATAGTATGGGCATAGAGAAGAGCGCTCTACATTTGTTGCAAAACTTATGCATAGCCCGTTATGCCACCGTTACATACTTCTACACTTGCGAGGATATTCGTTACTATTTTTCGCCCGAAAAAACTGAACTCCCCTTTTCTTCTCTTGTTTTCAAAATCCTCTTCTTTTTAAACTGTTGGTCGGATACCAGACTGTTTCATCAAACAGCATTCAATTTAGGAAAGCCCTATATCTGCAAAAGTAGTCGAAAAACACGAAAAATATGTCTTTCGTTTTTCTCCTCATAAGTCTAACAAACTTGAAAGAATACGTTATACCACATTCTGTAGCCCTTTCAATTCTGCATCTTTCTATATACAAACTGTGCCTAATCTGTTTGTAGAAGAAACTATAATCATTTTTATGTACCACTATAGGAAAAAGATAACTGAACTGAACTGAACTGAAATTTATTTTTACACAAAGGTAGGATATCACAAAAAAGCACCCAAAGGACTTGTGGCATCAGAAGACACCAAATGATAACCTAAACTAAAAAGTTTCAATACATACATTGTGAGAGAAAAATAAAAAAATAAAAAGTAAAAAAAAATTTAAAAATTTTTTTTTATTTTTTTTTATTGAAAGCCAAGATGATCTCTTAACATACGTTTAAATATGGATGAAGAAATAGAGATATATGTCAAGTATGTGTCGGATATATTTACAAAGGCACACTTCTAAACTAATGTGTTATAGCTCATTTTGTAGCCCGTGAAATTCTTAATCAAAAGGTATATGAAGTGGAGTGATTAGCGGAATCCCTATTATTCAAGATTTTCGCGACCGAGCCGTGTCGGCCGGTTGGCAGACCTTTTCTTTTGACTCCCGCCCATAGCTCCCGAACCATGGATTTCTAAGATGTCGTTTAGATCCAATTTTGTTGAGGACACTTCAAACTATATATCTATGAAAAGATCCATAGAGTTCTATGTCAGTTTTCGGGGAACCGAACTTGTTTTGTGCAGATCTCCTGAAAAATCGGCCGTCGAAATTTTTTCCAAATTTGCTTTTAGTTATGGAGACATAGCTTCAAGTCTTGGCTAGTCAATGATGAAAACCGCAAGTATCTATCTTTTATTCCTTTTGAGTTATTCAAAAAATAACCATCGGCCTTGTATTTTGGCGCCGATGGTAGTACAACAAACATTAAAAAAGAACGGAGTATTCATATAGTAGAGATTGTCGACAAAAAAGAGAAAACCAAACTAACTTTTTAATCTGAAATATGAAAACATTTGTTTTACTTAGCTCAGCAAATTCGTTTTTGAACAAAGTAAGTGGCATTATTTCTTTATCAAAAAAAACTAGATAGGTTTACAAGAGAGACATGTATCATTTTCATTGGTCTGATTTCCAAAACAAGGCTAAATCAAATTTTGAGTTATAATAGTTATAATAGTTTAAAAGCTGAAAAGAGCTCGGAACCGAAAAAACTTCTAAAGTTTTAGAAAATGAACGTTTTTTCGAAAAAATGGGTTCTTGAAGTATTTCAAATTTTTCGGCTGTAAAGGTTTTCAAAAGTTAAAAACCACTTTTCCTTACTCAGCTCATCTCGCTCTATTCAACTATGAAGAAAATGTCGCTTGACTGTGGGGAAAACATTTAAAGGGAAAAGAAGTGGAAAACTCATCCGACTATCCTTTCTTTATCTCTATAAGTCACACTTAAATATATTTTTTCTTTCTGTCTATTTCTCATGTTCTTTCTTATCTCTCTGTCTCTCTCGCCTATTAATTTTTTTCTTTTAATCTCTGCCTGTTTACATACGAAGACTGTTCAGCTATTTATCTCTTTAAACAGACCAACAGACCATGAAATATCGATTTTGTTCTTACTTCGTTCATGAGATCGTACACAAAAGACGGTAAAAACCGTTTCGCCGAAAGACAATTATTGACTAAATGTCAGTGCCGTTTCGCCAAAAATTTGTACGCTTGCGTCAATTGGCGAAACGTCGGATGATTTTTCGTCATGGCGAATTGTCTTTTAGCGAAACGTCAGAGATTCTAAAATTTTCATATCGTAATTTCTTTATTTTTATAGAAAAAGAACAGAAAAAGACCTATGCGAAGGCAGCTAATACCAAGAGAAAACAACAGTGGAATGCTAGTTCTGTTATTCCACGGAAGCCAATAAACGCTTTTGGGGAAAACCAACGACGAACTTCATCCACCAGTGTTTCAATAGCTTTATCCTCATCATCAACAAACAGGATATTTGCTAATTTGGAAAGTCGACTTGAATCAATTCAAAAATTAACGGCTCATATAATCACAAATGATTTTCATACACCAGGAAAAGCCCTTGTCGCAAAACTAAACATTACCTTTACTCTTCGTGCGACCTAAGTACTTCTGACTAGCGCACAGTGGGCATTTTTCTATAGAGCAGGCGGACATATGCCGTAGAAGTGATATGAAAGCCTATAAACAAGTTTTCCTATAGGCTTTCGAATATGCTCTTTCTAATGATGAGATTTTCAGAACCCAAAAGTAATTCCTTGTGGGTTTTCTGGAAACCGGATCTCTGGAAAACCCATAAAAAATATTTTTACGTTTCGAAAACCTCACTATTGGAGAGATCATATTCGAAAACCTATAAAAAATGTGTGTATTAGATGTTACTTTTAAGTGGGGGCAGCGGGGGGCAAACGACTATACTGAGGTAGACCTTTGTGGGACTGACGTTAGGAAGATTCGATGCGCTGCTACTCCTCGATTTCTAACGGAAGTAGACACATTTTGGTATGAGTAGATAGGTTAGGATCGCCTGATTCCGAATATGTGCTTTCCAATCGTTAAATATCACTGAGAGAGAACAAAGAATCACGGTTACATGCAAAGGTAGTTCGTTGGGTGGTACTCCATATACATTTCGTGTAGTTCAATTTTCTCTCGAACGACTCGATCTCAAAATAGACAAGCAAACGAAAATCTCTGTTAACTGCAGAAAGAAGTAGCTACGGCCGCATCAGCACACTACTCTGTATCGATAGACAGAATAACGTTGAAAACGAAGAATGACTTGTGGGAAGGTTCCCTTAGCGGTGGCTCATAATTTCAACACGAAAAACTCCAGTAAACTGACGCCAGAGTGAATGCAATAGCAATTTTCATTTGCCTTTATAACTATGCGCTCTGAAGAATCTTCTAACGGTTTAGTAGACCGAAAGAATTCTTAAGATACCAGAAACCACAGAACCTTTTTCATAGTTTTGGAAGCGCAACATTCTTTCGAAGAATGTTGCTAAACTAGTCTGTAAGGCTTACAGACTAGTTTATAGTTTAACAGAAAACAGTAAAAACTTATTTGCTTTCTAAATTGGTGAACACTACGCGAATTCCGTTTCCCAATACCATGGCCGCGCAGAAAAGATTTATATTTGTAATACTTGTACTTGTTTCTCATCTTGATCAAAAGTATTTCGTTTGTATGATATTTTGAATGTCTCTACATAGGCTTTTTCCACATTCCACTTATTAGAGCCAACCTTCACCATAGAACCTCCTGTCTCAGCACTTCCTTGCAATCCATCAAACCCAATGGAAAGACGGCTATTGGCTTCGCCATGCAAAATCTTACCGTCGCCGTCGGAGTATACAGAATCTTCTGTAGATTTCTGAAATCTCGCTATCTGACCACATCGTTACTGATAGATATGATCCATTCTAATACAGCTCTGGTGTCCATTGTCATGTAAGGGATTGTAGTAATATTTGTCACGATTATTCTTATACCACTCGCGTGCACTGCGAATTCGTTTATCTGCAATGTGAACAAATACCGTCAAATCGATGAACACGAAACCACATAGTGAACACTGCATTCATGTTATTCTTACACCTTGATATAGGTATGTGTATGTATTCGACTAGTGGGAAAATTTCTGATAAAGACCCATCTAGAAAAAAAGCCCACCCGCTTTACGCAATAAATACTTGTTATCTACAAAGAAAAACTCTTTCGTTCTACTATGTGTATTGACGGTGCAATTGTTATGTGTCATAAGATAAATATATGTAGCAGACCACACTGGAATTTAGGCAAAGTTGAAGTTGAAGGGAAGAGAGGTAGTTTTACATTGTTGTCTTTGAATTGAAACGAAAAGATTCATAGGCCCCATTAATAGCAATCAGACAGTCGTAGTCTCTCTTTTGCCTAGTTTGACTTCAAATTTGCCTAAATTCTAATTTTGCCTACAACATTGCTATAGAATATGATTCTCAAAAATATTCTCATACCAAAGTCAAATTTATACATAGACTGGACCTTCTTGATTGATTCGAAGTGATTGCATGGAGGTGCATTACAATATACAGACAAATAATGTAGAGTTGTTCTGTTGCTCAAACGATACCATTTATCTAGCATTAGTACTCCATTTTTCAGCTTTAAATCCAAAAATTGGTAATATTTTATTTTTTTCTATAGGAATGATCAGGACGTAAAGAACAGATTGAACACACCTCTGAATTTCTGATTTCGAGCCGACAGTGCTCACACTGTAGATCCGGAAGTGATGGTTGATCGCACTTCCCCTCAGTGCTGTTGGAAAACATGAGACATTATGGCCCACTATCCTCTTCTGGAGAAATCAATAACTGCGTGAAAACGAAGTCTGTATCCTCTCCGAAATCTTTATCAACTCCAACTCGAATCTCTCTGTCCCATTTGGTGTTTTGGAATAGACAAAAGGCATGAAAACTTGTCTGTTTCCACAACGGCACAATTTCTCAGCGTCGGTAGATTTTCCGACCTTATCACCTCATGGAAAAGTTCTGCCTCATCGTTGGTGCATTGATAACACCTTAACCTTCACATCTTTTGTAGATAAACTGTAACAAGCAGAAATAAGACGCACAAGGTTTTATTCGTCATTTCCAAAAATGCTATGCATGTTCTACTCCTGTTCGCTTTCTTTTATAGGAAACAAACACATAGATGTCATATCTTTTCAAGTTAGAAGATGAATCGCTTCTCATAAGTTAACGACATAGAGACTCTTTCATGCCACGAGCATGATAAGAGATCAACGCCGACGCTGTACGGGTTAGTTCAGTGCTGGTCCAGATGACTGGATCAGCGCCTGACCTTTGTATCAGTTGTGCGGCCGAACCTTGGCACCACGAACAATAATATAAGCAAGTATATATATACTTATATATAAAATACGAAAAATAGTTGAAGCGTTTTTTATACAAAAAACATTCAACCGTATAAATTAAAGTTTTAAGTTGGGTTCAAGGAGTCTTAAGCCAAGGCACTTGTTCTCGTATCACTCTCTATCTCTGCTAATAGCAGTCAGAAACGCGCCTAGTAACAGTTTTCTGTTTGTTATTCACCAAGTATCTTACTCCTGTTCGCTTTTCTTTTATAGGAGACAAACACATAGATGTCATATCTTTTCAAGTTAGAAGATGAATCGCTTCTCATAAGTTAACGACATAGAGACTCTTTCATGCCACGAGCATGATAAGAGATCAACATATCTAATTTCCTTTTAGACATCCCCTTTACAGATACTCTCCTTAGAGACTTTAGCAACCCAGGCCAATCGCCATGACGTCCGTCTATGTATAAATTTGACTCTGATATGAAGAATTTTCAGAATCATATTCAATGGCTACATTATTTTACTGTGCAGAAAACTATCGTTTTCGTAGTCGTTGTTTCCATCATGCTAGTGTCCCTTTGGAAAAACATCTAATTACTCAATTAACCTCATGCAGCTGAGCTATTCCTCAGAATTCGGTTTCTACGCTTCTTAATGTTGGGTGGATATAAGAAAACAGGAACTAATTATAAATTTATATGATACACGAGAAATTAGCGCCGTTTTCCTAGGATGTTCTAACGACAGAGCGGGTTGCGTTCGCTTCCCATTTCCATAGCTCCAATAGATAGGGCACACCTTTTTACATATAACTAAACGCGGGTTCTGGCCGCGGTTTCTGAGCCGCGAAATATTGGCTCAATGTTGGCAAATGGCAACATCCCGCCGAAAAGGGCTAAATAGAAGACGGGAAATCATTTGTGTGCACTTTATTTTTTTACCATGCAAGAAAAATAACACAGAAAGAATTACCAGAATTGCACATCATTTTAATCGAGCAAATCGTGAAAAATATTACCAAGGTTTGTAATTAAAGCTGAAAAATAGAGTACTAATACCAATGCCACTTTTACCTGCATTAAAGCCAACACCGACAACTGTTGCGGATACGTCTGTGGTCGAAAAGCCAACTCCTGTTGAAACATCTAGTCCAACACGCGCTTGAACATTCTCATGGTGTAGAGAAATAGCATTTAATTCTGCACCAGCTCCGACAAATACTCCTTCTCGACCTTGAGTACCAGATGCAAAAGCGCAAAAGCGCACATGCAAATAATGAAATTAGATTAGAATATTTTTATCGTGATTTATTTCTATGGTCAATACTTACTCATCGCATTGAAATGGCATTAAAATATATGCAATCGATTCAGTATGATCTATACCTTTTAGGGTAAAAACAGCATTTAATTCTGCACCAGCTCCGACAAATACACCTTCTCGACCTTGAGTACCACATGGAAAAGCGCTTCCATGTCCAACGTTAACATTCCATTTACCACAGCCAACCTTCAGGATAGAACCTGCTTCCTCAGCACTTGCTTGCAATCCATCAAACCCAATGGAAAGACGACTACCGGTCCTGGGTTGCTCCCGAAAACCCAAATTTCACAAAACTCGCTTTTCGATAGATTTTAGAACTTTTTCTAGAAAAAAATATGGCCACAAGACTCAGCATGATCGATTACCCATAGTCCATCCGTGTTCAAAGCTACCAACAGCCACCGGGTGCCAGTCCTTGGACTCGCAAGAAATCCGACACAACACCCGAGCCGCGGAAAACCAAGATCTCGCTTGACTCTCATTTTGAAGAGGCTACGTTGGGCTATCATAGCATGGAAGAAAATCAATGCAATCCTATTGAAAATTTTTACACATACCTATGAAATGAACTGAAAACCTTTTTCTAAATCAGTTTTTAATGCTGATTCAGAAAAATATAGTTCGAACCTTCCATCGTGCAATACAAGCACAAAAAGTCAATTTCATCAAAGAAGACGGTT